GATGGAGGGGAGTCAGGGAGTGTGAAGGAGCCAGGGAAACCCTCACCACTGCCAGACATATGGGTAGAAGGATGCATGTATGTGGACTTGCATAGATATGCACGCATGTGCTGATGTGCATACATAGTTTTATATATGTGTGTACATAGTTCTGTATATATGTTTAAAAACACCCTTACATACAGATACCATGAGCTTCAAAGGTTCCTGGGGAAATTTTAATTATCTTTTAAGCCCATCTCCCGTTAACTTTTGGAAGTCCAGTCTTGTGGATGTGGTAGCAGTCACATGTCGGGCTGCTCATCCCAACGTCAGCAGTTCAAAACCATCAGCTACTCCTTGAAAGAAGGACCAGCCTCGCTCGCTATTCCTGTACATAGTTACAGTCTCGGGAACCCTGTCCTCTAGGGTTGGAGAGTTGGAATCGGCTGGCTGCCAGCGAGGGAGACCTGTGTGGACCTGCATATGTGCGTCCACACAGAACATACATCATATGCTTTAGGGTGCCTCCGGTGTGCACACATGCGGTCTGATCACCCATTCCCCCCACCCTGTTGTACTTCCTACAGCTGCACCTCACAGAAGGCCACCTCCCCATGGCCCCCAGAAGAGGGGTGGCCCACTACTTCTCCTGTGGGTCCTGCCCACTCCTTCCCTCTTAGCCGTCCCCACCCCACCCCTCCCCTTAGCTAGCTCTTAGCCGTACCCCCCTCAGCTCCCAGCTCCCTCGCCACCAGCGAGAGATGCAATGGGAGAAAAGGGCAGGATTTCCGATGCAGACAAAACCCTGGTTGGAGGCTGCAGGGATTAAGGGCCGGCTACAGAAGGAATTGGAGATCACTGGGTGGTATCAACGGTCCATGTGCCCAGCTCTGCCCCAAAGGGTCGCTTCAAGTCCATCCAGTGGCATCCTGGGAGAGAGCCCTGTGATCCCACTCTGAAAAAGCAGCCCATGAAGATTCTTTAGGGAGCACAGCTCGACTCCGGCCACCGGGAGTTGGGAAGGACTCCGTGTCAAGTAATATTCCTTACAGGAGGAACCGCCCCCACGGCTGTCTGAAGCCAACGATGAACTGCACATGCTCACACAACTGTCCCGTCCTTTGAAAAGGGCCTGGGTCCTGGGTGTGCTGTCTTGGGACCCATTTTCCGCACACCCAGAGGTATCTCATGAGCCTCCCCTGCCCCGCGGGCGAGGCTGGGCCTCACTCTTTCAATGGCGCCCGCCGTGAAAAAGAAAGCAGGTTTCCTTCCCTCATTCACCTCCCATAGATTGTTTCCAGCTCCACTCCCCCACCCCCCATCGGCAGCCAAGCTGTGGGACAAAGCCCAATTCACTTGGCCGGTTCTATTTCTTTGGGCTAGAAGTCCCAGCAGGAGGATTCCGACTAAGCCCAAGTCCCCGAAACCCCACGGAGAGAAAGCATTTCCCCGAGCCCAGGCCTGGCATGCCTGGCACAGCTCCATGGACGGAAGAAAACTGGCTGGGTGGTGTTTGCACGGCAACATGTTGATTGGTCGGTCACTTGGGAGCAAGGCTTCGCCTATCCGACTTCGTTCCCCACCCCCCACCCCCCTCCGCCTTATGTGCAGACCTAAGACAAAATCCTGCTTTCGGATTTGGCTCTGAAGACTCTCTGCTGGGCTCAGTTCCCTCGGTGGCACACTGAAACTTGTCCAGCGCTTCAGCCGGTTCATTGCCATGTCAAAGACGCCCAGGAGACCACCGGGCGCTGGGGGTGTGTGTGTGTGCACCTATGAAAATATCTGACAATGAAGGCTGAGCCGGCACAGCCTGCTGTGCGCAGCACCCCAGCCTTGGGCGGTTATAAACTAATCTCATTTTCACCCATGGTGTTAAACTGTAACTACATGAGGATTTGGCAAGGTCCAAGAAAGGAAGGCTGGTTTCTTTGAATGCCCGCTGCCCAAGGCTGAGTGGATCTCCTAGGGATGGGTGCCAGGGAGGGGGACCTTTAACCAGGGCCATCAAGAATTTCCATCACACCCCAACCGCCAGGCACATCAACAAACAATCCAGGTCTGTCGCCATGTTTTCACCAGAGGTTGCTAGAAAAAGGAAAGGTCCGTAGTTAAGAGGGTGAACCGTGGCCCCCGGCTTACGTTTTACGGAGTAACACCAAACTAAAACAGATCACAGACCTACCTGTATGATTTAACAGTGTGCGAGTTCTAGAACAAGAGAAAGTCTTTGTGGCCCAGGATGGGTCAAGGTTTCTTAGATTCAACAACGGAATGCAGATCAGTCAGGCTTCGTGGAAAACTTCTGGGCGATTCAAGTGAACCTCAATCACAAGGAGAGAGGTATATATTTAACATACTTGGAAATGTAATCAAACAAGGGTTTGGGAATCATTATATTTATTGAATCCTACACTCTTCTGAATTATGTAGTCTGTACCAAGTGCTTATCTGTATGGAAACTGGAAGAGTGGGAATGGAAGGCAAAGGAAACAATGGTGAAGCAAGATTTCTGGTTAGATCACATTCATTATTTCACTACCCCAAATCCTCCGTTTTTCTTGTTTGCCCCCGGGATGGCAGCAATTATAATGTTTAATGTCTGAGAGAGTTTTGTTTTTTCTTTTCAAAATCATTTTATTGGGGGCTAGTACAACTCTTACTACAATCCATCCATCTATCCTTTGTGTCAAGCACAGCCCCAACCCTTTCTTTAGGGCTATTCCAGGCTGAGATGTATCCTATTGCCATAGTCACTACAGTCACACAAATCACATGGTCATTTTTAGACTTGATTAGTCCTTGAGTAAATAAGACAACCGCATGGACTGTACTTATCCAAGTTGGAAAAACACGGAGAATCCAATTTCTTCATTAAAATTAAAATGGGTGTAAAAAAAACTTCTGTGTGAAAGATAGTATCAAGATACCATAAGACAAGGGAAAGATTAGAAGGAAGTATTTGCAACATGTTGGACAAGGAGATTATATATATATAT